GTGGGAGACACAAAAATGCATGAAACAAAGCCCTGCCCTCCAGGAGCTTATATTCTTGAGAGAAGTACTGATGTATAACCAGAGTATTTCAGTAGGTTCAAGAGAGTGCCATGCAAGAGGAATGCACAAAATGCTGTGAAAATGCAGAGAAGCAGCATTTAGAAGGGTCATAAAAGAGTTGGTCTAGTGAAACATGAAAAACAACAGAAGAACATCATAAAAGCTGGGTCATATGAAGACCTTACATGACAAGCTAAGAGATTTGATGTTTTTTTCTGCAGGGAGCCTATGACTGGGTTTTTAAGCAGAAAAGGTACACAAAGACCACATGGGGCACCGTCTGGAAGATGCACTGACTAGGAGTAAGCTACCAGTTGGAGCAAGATCACTAACCTTAGAGTCTTACAATGATCCAAGTCAGAAGTGACAAGGCTCTGAGGTGGGACCATGTGTAGAGAGGAGAGTACAGGGTCAAGGAATAATTTATAGCCACATAGCTAAATGATGGGGCAGATTAAGGTAGAGGCTGATCTCTGGCTTGGATGGTTGAGTGCATGGTGACTCCTTTATTGGGAGGAAAACTTTTGAGAAAAACTATGAGTTCAGTTTGAGACATGACGGGTATATCCCCCTCCAACATCCACAGAGATGGTATTCTAGTCTGTAATTCCGTGGCTATTGATATGCACTTGGTCAAATCATCAACAACCACCTAATTAGAATATTGGGGGCACAAGAAAGTTTCCAGAAAGAGAAGGCAGAGAAAGAAGAGCAGTGGGTCAAGGATAGAGTTCTGAGGAACATGTGAGGATGAGCTCATGATGGAGACTGCAAGGGGAACACTTGGACAAGTAGGAGGGAAACCAGGAGGGACAGGGTCATTCGTGGAGGCCAAGTCTGGGGAGGTTTAAACATTAAGGGGAAGGCCAACAGCACCAAGGGCATTGGAGAAAGGAATTGAGGACTGAAAACAAGGGAATGGAACATAAAGAAGAAAAGACTTTTGAAGAACTTTGCTTAAAAAGGAAGAACACAAATCAGGTGAGAACTAGAGGCTTACAGAGGATCAACAGAGCGGCTTGAGCGGTGGGAGGGACTTGCACCAGACTATAGGCTGCAGCTGAAGAACTGGAAGAGTAAGGAGATAATTGAAGGCTCTCGGTCCCTAAGGAGAGAGGAGATGGGAAAAGACTGGCCTAGAATGGAACCTGGTTTCCCTTATACTCTGAGATTCACATACTAAGTACATGAGGTATTCTTTGTCTATGACAAAAGGAGTCTATCAATGATACAGAGAAATGTATAGATAAATATATGCAGACAGAATGCTATACAATATTTTTTTTCAATTCCTAACATTATTATGTATTCAGAGATGTAAAAAGAATGATCATCCCCGGCAAAACCAGCCAGGCCACACCTCAAGCTGTCAGGCCTGTTGGCACAGTTTCCCAGGGTAGCAGGCTGCTTTCTCACCATTCCCATATGCACTGTGGATTTGACCAAGTCCCCTCTATGAAGACTTCCTCCCCTTTGCCCCTGTTCCTCCATGAGTGAAATAAATGGGTTGGATTAAAATCCAGGCAGCAAGGTATATGTCCATCAACAGATGAATGAGTAAACAAATTGTTGTACAGTTATGCAATTGAGTATTACCTAGTAATAAAAAGGAATGGACTATTGATATGCGCATCAACATGGATGAATCTCCAAATAATTACTCTGGGTAAAAAAGGAAGAAAGCCAGACAGCTTCCCCCTCCCACCCACCCCCCCAAAAAAAATAATAATATAAACTATATGATTCTACTTATATAAAATTCTACAAAATGCAAACTAACTTTTGGTGACAAGCAGATCAGCTGTTGCTTGGAAATGGGGGGACAGGTCACGGAGAGGAGTGGGAAGGAGAGCTTCCAAAGGGGCATGAGGAAATTCGGGGCATGAGGCGTGTGTTCGTTGTCTTGACTGTGGTCATGGTTTCACAGGCATGTCAAAACCTACCAAGCTGTACACTTTATATGGACTTTTATTGTATGTCAATTACACCTCAATAAAGCTGTAAAGACTATCATCACAAAGTGATCTTTAGGTGACTTCCAACTGACTTCAACTCCGTTTTCTTTTTCAGGATTTCCTCTTTGATCTCTTTATAGAACTCGCGCGAGGAAACATCCCTAGCCCCAAGCAAATATCCTTTTGTTGTTACAAGACACCAAGCCTGGTTTTTCCAACTGAAAACAAGAGGGGAAAGTTCTAAGTAAAACCCTCTTAATAATGAAGGATATAGTTCACTCCTCTTCCCCAAGCTCACCAAAATCTTGCTGGGGTCAAATCCTGGAGGACAACTTTTATCCTCCATTTAGGGCGTAAAGTCAAGAAGAAAAAGCAAATCTTGTGGTATAAATAAACTGGAACCAAACATGTTAAGAGTTGCCTGGTTCCTTTGGGGCTAACCCACGTTATTAATAAAAAGGGCTCTAGTTATGAAAGCAGGGGTTTCTTCTCTCTTTAGAGTGGCAACTCTCACCAATTAGCTTGTTACAGGACTAAACAAGCTGCACTCCAGAGACAGGAAGATGTGGATGGAGTGGTGGGAATGTTTTAGTTTTTTTTTATCCTGCTTCAACCTACAAATGCAAAACGGACTGGCCCAATTTAAAGTTTTGCAATTTCTGACCACTGGTCTAGACAGGAAAAAGGTTACAGGTAAAGTAAATGTTTTGTGTGTGTGTGTGTGTGTGTGTGCTTTCGGTTGAATCATTATTTTCTAATTCATTTACTATAATGAAGAAATAGACTTGGGCTATATGAATTCTGCCTTTGCAATCTACAACCTTGGTGATCTAGGTCAATCCTGAACTTCTCTAAGCTTCAACTTCCTCCTCTAAAATGGAGTTGAACTCAAAGGGCTGAGCTGATGATTATGAAAAACAAGAAAGGCATAGGGCCTGGTACATAGCACTTAATAATGCTTTATGAAATCTGTATTATTGAGGTATACTTTCATTTGGTTATTACTCAATACCACATAACTTTGAGTTTACCTTTCTCTCACCTTCTGTTACATTAATAATCTGAATCCACAAACAGGTAAGAACACATTAAGGGAATTTGCTATTTAAAACAACAATAGCTAATACAATGAACCCTTAAAATGTGCCAAACATTGTACATGCTTTTCTTAATCAGTCATTTAACCCTAAGAACAAGTTCATACTATTATTATTACCCCCATTTTACATATCAAGAAACTGAGGCACATTAAGTGATTTACAAAGATCACACGACTAATAAAAACTTGGGGGATTGGGTGGATTTAAATCCTGGCAGACTGACTGTGGAATATCTGTGCTTAGCCACTATACTGCAAGTTTTTTTTAATGGGTTTTTAAACACTTTTGTTAATTAAATCATGACAGACTTACCTGCCTGATAACTTTGCACACTGAGTCATAACCATCACAGGTCTCTTAAGAAAGGGATTTTCAGAAATGATCTACTAAAACCCACCCCCTGGCCCTAGGCAAGGCCACAACTAAACAACTCAAGCCTGGTAAAAAAGGCGGCCTGAGAACAAAATTCTACTTCTGTTCATAGTTCATTACCAAGTTTAATAGTCAGGAAATTCTTGAATTACAACTTAATTTAGACCCTTTATGCTTCAGGTTGAGCCCCATTCCTTGGGCCTGATAAACCCCAATATTTCCATTTCTCTTATTCATTCACTCAACTTTAAAATAAACATCTATTAAGCACGCCGTCTGCATTATATCACTGAACAAGTTCTGATAGGATCAGTCAGGAGATTGGCCAACTGGGGACTAGGGGAGAATTGTAGGAACAAGGTGGGGACAAGATAGGCCCTCATTTATAGAGGAGGTGGGCACAGAGCTCCCAGGCTGCACCACATAATCCTGAAACTTCCCAACACAAACTCACCCAGTGCAAACAAACCCAGGGTGATCCCAAGTGAATCCCAAGCAGCCATGCCTGGGAAACGACATTTTCCTTTTTCCTGGGTCCTAAATCTAACACCACCAGCTTGCCAGCTGCCCTGTATACAAGCTTTTCACTTTCTGAAGGCGGTAATTAAGTGGACTCCTTCTCTTCCGCAAACAAAATAACTTCAATGGCTGAACTAGAAATGTCCCAATATGATGCTGCCGAACAGTGAAAGCTGTGGACAACTTGAGGCTCTTAGAGTGAGAGACACAACGCCTGGATCCTGGCGCTGGTTCCACTGCTCGGTCTGTGTTTACTAAGCTCCCCAGTGCCGCATGCTGAGCGAGGAGCAACCTCTGTCCTCAGAGGACTTACAGTCTAGCCGGGGAGACGAGGAGGTGCACAGCCCCTTCACCTGTGGCAGGCGTTACCAAGGCCGTTAATTAAGCTCCTGATGTTAAGAAAGCGCCAAGGAGGCTTCCATCCACTGTTACCCTCGCACCTCACTGAATTTCGAAATTTGTCCACTAAAATTGGAATAATAACTCCTCCTTAATCTACCTTATGATGCCGTAGGGACCTCAAACGCCAAAGCTCCTACAAAAGCATAAAGGGCAATTGAAGGTAGGGACTGTTCATTAGCGACGTAATGGTGCTAATCTGCACATTGAAAAGATGTTTCATTGAGCGGTGCTGCAGAAAAGCGGCGAGCAAAGGGCTAAAAACTGTTGCAAATCGCTGGTACCTGCTCCAGCAAAAAAAAAAAAAAAAATACAGTCTTGACCTGTTAATGTGGAGGAGAATCCAGAGCAATCTCCAGAGCCAAAACGTCGGAAAAGGACACGCTCAGCACCACTCGCGTCCTCCCAGGGGTCACTCGCCAGGCGCTCCGCACCACCCCCAGATCCCAGATCCCAGATCTCAGACCGCCCGGGCCTTGTCGCGGGCGCCCCCTGGCGGCCGCCCGGGGACACTGATCATTCGGAGCGCGGGGCGGGGCTAACGGAGATGAGGAGGTGTGGTCTTCTCGCGTGAACTGAAGGCGTCATAGCCGCGACGGGCCCGGAAGGAAGTGGCGGGCGGAGGGGTGTGGCGGTTTCTGCGGTTGCGAAGGGGTTCGGACGGGTACGGAGCGCCTGGAGGGACACCTGGTACGCGGCCCCCGCCCCTTAGTGCGTGCACTGGGCCCAGCTGCGGCGCCCGGGCCCACCCCTGCAGCCTCTTGTCTCCCCTGAGCGAGACAGCCACCCTCTCTCTCCCGAATCTCTCTCTCTCTCTCTAGCGGGACCGGGCAGAGGCGCTTGGAGCCCCGGCCCCTACCCAGAGCTCTGGGGATGCGCGCCCTTCTCTCTAGGAAGGGGCGCGAGGTGGGGCGGGGGTAACATCGGAAGGGAAGGGCGTTTGCAGAAAGCACGTTGCTGCAAATCCGTAGCTGGAGGCCGCCCAGGTAAAACGAGCGCCTCGCCGATGTCGGCGCCCGCCTTCCAGAGCCCACGAGGCAGAGCCCGCGCCCTGCGCCCTGCGCGCGTTGGCCCCGGCGCGCCTGGCTGTGCAGTCACGGCCCTAGTTGTTGCAGATCACTCCGTGTTCAGGACATGAGTCTCCGGAGGCCAAGTCTTTCGCATGCCGGTGCCCGAACACAGTGGGACCCAGAAGTCCAGAGTCGTCCAGCCTGGGGGACCCCCTTTCTCTAGCCCTGGGCTTAGGGACCTGTCAAGTGCCAAGTGCCGGCCAGGTGTATGGGAGGGAGCGTGGCCTCGGCCTTGGTCAGAGCCCTCTCCCACGAGGACCAAAGGAGTAACCGGGGAGGTGGGCCAAGGCCAGAGAGCCCGCCTTGGGCCTCGGTTTGCATGCTGTCTCTGTCGCCCCGGCATCTGAAAGGAGTAAATAATGTCTTCCTTTGAAGTGGCAGGCAATTAGGAGCGGGAGGCTCCGACCAGAATTACATGCCACAACTGCCTGTCATTTGACTTCCTCTGTAATTTGCGCCAACTTACTGCAGCTGCCTCTTCCCCTTTTCCCAGCGGGAGCGGCTCCTGTGACAGCACGTTGGTGTTCACAGGAAGGGAAGGCTGTGTTCTGAACGCTGCCCAGCTGGCACTGCTTCTCCCGTGGGGGGCGGCTGTGTGGAATGGCTGCCTCTTCATCGAGGTGGGGACTAGAACCCCACCGTTAGGGGGTGGCAATGCTGGCTGAGAGCAGGGATGGAGAGCGCGGTAGATCAGGCGGGCCTCGTGCTCACCCGGCAGACTAGCTGTGAGCCTGGGAGCTCCGCTAGGTGAGGTCCTCTCCTGCAGGGCAGACCAGACACGTTTTCCCCTGTCTTCTTCCCTAGGATAAAGGCTCGCTGATGGCTCAGTTGGGAGCAGTTGTGGCTGTGGCTACCAGTTTCTTTTGTGCAGCTCTCTTCTCAGCCGTGCACAAGATAGAAGAGGGACATATTGGGGTATATTACAGGTAAGGCAGAAACAGGGAGGAGCTTGCAACTTTCTGTGAAATGACTCTTTCCTAGTCACTGTCTAGCAGATTCTGCTGAATATGTATGTTTATGTTTTGTTGAATATGGAAGTCTTTTTTAAAAAAATATTTTTTTATTGATTTTTTTTTTTTTTACAGAGAGGAGGGGAGAGGGATAGAAAGTTAGAAACATCGATCAGCTGCCTCCTGCACACCCACTACTGGGGATGTGCCCACAGCCAAGGTACATGCCGTTGACCGGAATCGAACCTGGGACCCTTCAGTCCGCAAGCCAGCGTTCTATCCACTGAGCCAAACCGGTTAGGGCGAATATGGAAGACTTTTAGTTGAGCTTTTGTGTTAGTGACCATGGGGATGGGGAATATGTGCATGCACACACACACACACAAATGTAAAATAAAACTTAGTAGTCTAAGTTGATAGATGGCAATTGATAACTGTATATAGAGATTGAGACAAAACCTAAAGGCAGCCAGAGCTCCTTGCAGATTATCTCTAAAACATTGTTCTCGCCTACATCCCTCTCAGCCTCTTGGTGCCACAAGGTTACCTCTGCTGAGTACCAGTTCTTGATGGCAACTTGAGAAGATAGTCTGCTCTGCGAATTTGAACCTACTCTTTAAAATTAACATTTCCGGAAAAATGAAAGCACCTGCAGGTTGATTTTTTTCAATCAAGGCAAACCCTAGGATAGTGGTTCTTATAAGCTCATTAGGTCACTATTTATTTTATTGCTCCTTTAAAATAAAAAGCTTAACTTTATAATGTAAAGCAAAGATGCACTTACATGTGGGATTACTTTCCTTTTAGTAACCTCCATAGCCGAGCTTTTTGCTTGAAGTCTTTATGGCTCCTTCTTGTCCTGTGCCCTGTGATGCTTATTTCCAGATTGCCACTAGCAAGTTCTAAAAGTCTGGTTGGGTTTCCCAGTCCCCTTTAATTATTTCTCCCTACCATCTACTTATATGTCCCCCCAAATGGCTTTTAGTTTTATTACCATTTACATACAACTTGATTAGAATGGTAACTCTACTGCCAAAAAATATATATTAAAATGATTTGTAAAATATACTTAAAATTATTCTTTTGGTGTTGATGTCACTGGAATGCAACACTAGTGCAGCTCATTGATTACTGTATTATTGGATTTAAGTGCCCAAACAGATTGCCACAAGTTCAACGGACACAACAAAGTAAAATAGACTTCCTCTCAAGGATAGCCAGGAATTCTGCTGCCTTTATTCCACTTCGCCTGAGTGCCTATTTTTCTTGCTGTGAAAGCATGAATAATGGTTTTATGTTTTAGCATTAGGCTTCCTAGAATATTCAGGTCTAGCTGGGAGGGAGGATCTGTGGAGGTGGCTCTGGCTCTTTTCACTCTGTATTAAACATTGGTGGGGCTGAAGGGATAGTTGGCCCAAAGAATATCAATGTAATAGGTACCTCTTGCTAAACTGAAGCTGCCTCTTCTCCTCTGCAGAGGCGGTGCCCTGCTGACTTCCACCAGCGGCCCTGGTTTCCATCTCATGCTCCCTTTCATCACATCATATAAGTCTGTGCAGGTATATTTGGCTTGTGTGGGATGGCTGGACAACTGCAGATTTGGGGTGTTGACAAATGCATGATTGGGAATTATTTAGCCACTGGGTGAGCGTGATGCCTTTTCAAGGAGTCATTTAAGAATAAGTTTTACAAATATGAAGAATGAGGCTCCATTAACTCTGAAGCTTTACTTGATTGTTGAAGTGGTTGAATGGAGTCCTTGCCTTGGCCCGTCAGTCCCCCCTGGGAAGTGTTTCTTCACTTCAAGACAAGGCCATAGAAGAATCCGTTTGCATGTATAGAAGGAAAAGTAGAGTGTGTGTGTCTGCATTTTAACTCACAGGCTACCAAGTTGGATGGAAATAAAATGGTAATTTTGCTGGTTCTTATTTGAACTTCAGAG